GTTGTGGTGTGGCAGAGAAGGAGAAGAGGAGAAAGAGGACTGTAGGGTCCTTGGTGCCATCCAGGGGTGAAATGCTCCCGGTTCGGACCGGATCGCCCGATCCGGTAGCGATGGAGGTGGGTGGTTCGGAGAACCGGTAGCAAAAATCCCTGCCCCTCTCCATCCCCAGCTGAGCCGCACAATCATCAGAGGCTTTTTTAAAAGCATTTTTTCTACAACCTCTTCGGCCGAAAAAATGCTTTTAAAAGTAAAAAAAAAAAAACCCTCTGATGATCGCGCGGCCCAGCTGGGATCGTCAGAAGCTTTTCAAAGCATTTTTTTCCTGTAACCTCTTGGCTGAAGAGGTGGTAAAAAAAATGCTTTGAAAAGTCTCTGACGATCCCAGCTGAGTTGCCTGATCGGCAGAGGCTTTTCAAAGCATTAGAAAAAATGCTTTGAAAAGTTAAAAAAAAAAGAGTTGGCTGGGATCATCAAAGGCTTTTAAAAGAAAAAAACCCTTTTTTTCTTTTAAATGCCTCTGACCGTCCAAGCTGAGTGGCTTGATCGGCAGAGGCATTTAAAAGAAAAAAAAAGCCTCTGCCGATCAGGCAACTCAGCTGGGATCATCAGAGCCTTTTGAAAGCATTTTTTAACAACCTCTTCCCCGAAGAGGTTGTAAAAAAATGGTTTTAACAGTTAAAAAAAAAATTGGCCACGCCCACCGTCACTTTACCCCCCCACCAAGCCACGCCCACAGAACCGGTAGTAACAAATTTTAGATTTCACCACTGCCCCCACCCCACCCTCACCCCAGCAAACAAGCCACGTTTAGCCCTGCAAACAAGACCTGGTTTGAGCAGAATGCAGGAATAGAAAGATGCTCTTGCAAATCGCAGCTCAGAACGGAGTTGCGTGCAGCGTTGTTGCAGGAATCCAGCGGTCGTAAGTCTAAGACGAAGATGTTCTTGTGCTTGGTAGTTCAGAACAAAGGTTGTGGCGGTGGTTGTTGCAGGAATCGAGCGGTCGTATGTTGAGGACAAACGTACCTGTATGAGGCAGGCTCAGGAGCGACTTAAATGTGTCAGAGTCATCCTGAAGTTGATTGATCCAATCATGTGGTTTTAATAAGTTAGGCTGAGGGAGCCTCTTCTTCACGGTTTAAACCAGGGGTCCCCAACCTCCAGGGTGTGGCCCCGTGCCGGTCTGCAGCCTGTTCGGATCTGGGCTGCAGAAGTGGCAGCTGAATGCGTGCGGGCACGCACATGCGTGCGGAGCTGCATTTTTGAAAGTGGCATGCGTGCACGCCAGTGGTGGGTTTCAAAATTTGCTACTACCGGTTCTGTGGGCGTGGCTTGGTGGGTGTGGCTTGGTGGGCGTGGCAGGGGAAGGATACTGCAAAATCTCCATTTCCTCCCAATCAGCTGGGACTTGGGAGGCAGACAATAGATGGGGGGGGGGGCAGTCAGAATTTTTACTACTGGTTCTCCGAAGTACTCAAAATTTCCGCTACCGGTTCTCTAGAACTGGTCAGAACCTGCTGAAACCCACCTCTGGTGTGTGCATGCGAAACCATCCCCTCTGCCAGTCCACAGAGCTGGAAAGATTGCGGGATGCTGGTTTAAATATCATAGTTTAGGACTGAATGAAGTGAGAATAATCAACCCATGGAAGAAAAGTTGCCTTCGGAAGTTGTGGGAGCTTCATCCCTGGAGGCTTTCAAGAAGAGACACTACTGACATCTGTCAGAAATGGTGTAAGGTCTCCTGCTTAGGCCGGGGGGGGGGTTTGGGGTGGACTAGATGACCTCTAAGGTCCCTTCCAACTCTTGTTATTCTATATTCAATGGGATGATTTGCCTTCAGAAGTTGTGGGAGCTTCATCACCGGAGGCTTTCAAGAAGAAACTGGACTGCCATCTGTCAGAAATGGTGTAAGGTTTCCTGCTTGGATGGGGGTTGGACTAGATGACCTCCAAGGTCCCTTCCCACTCTGTTAATCTAATCTGAAGCTGCTGTGGTTTACTCCGACCATGTTGAAGGAAAACATGGCTTATTCCGATGGGTGAGTCCAACTCGATTCTTCCAAACCATAAGCCAATTTCTAAATCCTGCCAGGTAAGAATTAGCTGTTTTAAAATTAGGCCCTTTTTCCTCCCTAACTTCCAAGCTAAGCGTTGTTGCAGGGGTGAACGGCATCCAGGAATTCTCCTTTGTGGATATTTAAGAAATTAACATGTCTTGTGGTGCGTGTGTGCGCGAAATACAGGCAGGCTGGTAAATGCATCTAAAAAAATTGACTAATTTTCCAAGCCAGCCTGCCCGCCTACGGATCCCTTCTGTTATTCATTTCGACTTAAAATGGGGAGGGGAGAGAAAAGGGGGGCCAATCTAAGTGTCTAAAGCCAATTTTTAATTCTGGAATTGGAGGGTTTTCTGGAAAGGATGAACACAGATCACAGGTGTTATTACAGATATTACAGATTAAGATATTTGGAAGGGACCTTGTGGGTCATCTAGTCCAACCCCCCACCCAAACAGGAGACCCTACGCCATTTCTGACAGATGGCAGTCCAGTCTCTTCTTGAAAGCTTCCAGGGATGAAGCTCCCACAACTTCCGAAGGCAACTTCAGTTCCATTGGTTGATTGTTCTCACTGTCAGGAAATTCCTCCTTATTTCCAGGTTGAATCTCTCCTTGATCAGTTTCCATCCATTATTCCTTCTCTGGCCTTCGGGTGCTTTGGAAAATAGCTTTTAACAGTAACAAGAATTGGAAGGGAACTTGGAGGTCATCTAGTCCAACCCCCTTGTTCACCCAGAGGAGACCTGAAGTAGGGATTCGAACCACTGAACTACCGACCTTTCTGATAGACAAGCTCAGTGTCTTAGTCACTGAGCTACCTAGCTTGACCCCCTTCTCTCTGTGGCAGCCCCTCAAATATTGGAAGACTGCTGTCCTGTCTCCCCTGGTCCTTCTCTTCACTAGACTAGCCATGCCCGGTTCCTGCAACCGTTCATCGTATATTTTAGCCTCATCATCATCCTGGTTGCTCTTCTCTGTACTCTTTCTAGAGTCTCAACATCTTTTTTATAGTGTGGTGACGAAAACTGGATGCAGTACTCTAGGTGTGGTCTTACTAAGGCTTTATAGAGTGGTATTAGTACCTTCCTTGATCTTGATCGTATCCCTCTGTTAATGCAATTTAGGATTGCATTGGCTTTTTTGGCTGCCACTGCACACTGCTGGCTCATATTTAATTGTGCAAAGAAGATCCTGCATCTTACAACCATTCGTTTAGTGATGCGATTACAACAGAGCTGAAAATAGTGACTTATGATTAGTCCTCGCACTTACAACTGTTGCAGCATCCCCAGGGTCACATGATCAGAATTTTAAGGGCTCGGCAACAGGCAGATATTTCTGAGGGTTGCAGCATCCAGGGGGTCACATGATCACCATTAGCAACTTTCCCAACAAAAGTCAATTAACAACTGCAGTCATTCACACTTAACAACCGCATGGCCAAACGAGTCATAAAATCAGGTGTGACCACAACCTCGTTGCTTAGCAACAAAAATTATGGTCCCCATTCTGGTCGTAAGTCTGCAAATCACTTAATGACCATATGATTCACTTAACAACCATGGGAAAAAAAAGTAAAAAAAAATCAGATGTGACTCACTTCACCACCGCCGCCTTGCTTAACAACGGAAATTCTGCTTCCCATCATGGTCGTAAATTGAGGACTACCTGTATGTCTTTATTTTTGAAGTTTGAACCAACACGTAAGGCTTGTACAGTAAATGGATTAGCAGCCATACCTTATTAGCTCTCTTTTAATTCAAGCTCGCTCAGGGGTTTGGGCAAAAGTTATTAGCAGATATATAGGCCATAATACGCTAATTATATATCTTGACAGATGGGAGGTGCTGGAAAGTGATGGGTTATGTGCGAGAGGGAAGCGTAATTGTGCGCTGAAGATTATAAATGAATATTGATTTAATGCCGCTAAGCAATTCATGGCGGGGGTGGGTAGGAGCAGAACGCGGTTTATTCCAGACAGCGGAAATCAGGAAGGTCACGTGTGAAACGAGAACACGCGTGGCTTTTGGCACCGCGTGGCTTTGCATCCTGCAAAACATCAAAAATGCTAAATAAAGGTACCCAGGTGGCATTATCCAGGTTTAGCTGACGCTGCCTTCTTTTATAACGATGGGTGGATCTTGACTTACAACAAGGGCCGCTAAGGACCGAGGTCGTTAAGTGAGTTGCACCCTATCAGCCGACCTTTTTTTTGCCATGGTTGTTAAACAAATCACTCCTTTTAACAAGGCTCAGACAGTGCAATCGATATGGAATCCCACTGCGGGAATACCCCGGTCTCCTTCAGCGTCCACATAAACCTGGGGTCTTCGTTGGCTTGGATGCCCCCCCCATAGTCCCCCCCCACCTGCAAATGGCCTCCCAGGACCTGCACCTCCCAGCGGGTCCCCCTCTCCCCCAACCCTTGCCCCTCCCCACCAAGCCCCCTCCTCCCCTTCATCCAAGTGGCCCACTGCTCCTTTTGGAGAGCTGCAAGGGGGGGGGGGAGGCGCAAGCCTGCCAGCCAAACCTCCCCTTCCGTTTTCTCTCTTTTTTTTTTTTTACTGGGGGGGGCTAACCTTCCACCCTTTCCTCCCCCCTCCCTCCCTCCCTCCCAGCGTCAGAGGTGTCGGAGACGGCGTTGGTCCCTTTTAAAGTGTCCAGCCAGGGCTGCTGTAAACCGTGCGCCCCAGCCTGGGCGCAATCCTTTGCTGCTGCTTCTGCTGCTGCTGCTGTTGCGGCGGCTGCAAAAAAGGTGTGTGTGGGGGGGCGCCCTCCTTGCCTTCCCCTCCTCTCTCCCTTTCCCTTCCTCCTCCTCCTCCACCACTGCGGAGCCCAGCCGGAGCTCTCCGCAAAGTTGAACCTTTGCAAAAAAAAAATAAAAAAAAATTAAAATCAAATCAAATAGATCCGTTGCAAAAAAAAAAACGCAGCCACAAACTGCAGGGCGCGCGTCGGCGGCTGTTGCTGCTTTGGTGTCTCCTCCTCCTCTCCTCCTCCTCCTCCTCCTCCGGCTGGGAGCTTCAGACATCTTAGGAGAGGCGGAGGAGGGAGAGATTTCCGGGCCCCCGAAGCGGACGGAGCTTTTCCCCCCTTCCAGCCGAGCCCAAAGCCAAGCCGAGCGCCGGGTCTCCTCTCTCTCGGATTTTTACGCACCGCGCCGAGCCCATGGGAAGCTGCTCCGGGGGACCCCGAGGGAGGAAGAGCGCGGCGTGGCACCGTTCCCTTGGATCTGCTTTTGGCTGCTTCTGTTTTTTTTGATGCTTAAGTGTTTCATTTGATTTTTTTTAAAATATTTTTTTTTTGCAACCTCCTTAAAAAACACCCCTTGCCTCTCCTCCCACCCCCCACCCCCCGAAATCCACTCCACTGGGAGCTTCGCTCGGATTTGGAGACGTCTTGTGGATGCGCAGTCCAAGGAATTATTCTTATTTTATTTTTTTATTTTTTTTGGTGTGTGTTATTATTGGGGTTGAGAGAGAGAGAAAAAAAGAGGGGTCAGCGGCCTTGCAACGGAGCGGCTTGGGCAGTAAGGTAAGGTCGGAGGGCGAGCTGCGGCTTGGCGGAGCTCACTTTCTCTTTGTTTTTTGTTGTTGTTTCACTCTCTCTCCGCGGAAAAAAAATATATAAAATATGTAGCAAGGTTTGTTTTTTGTTTCTTTTTAAAAAAAAGCAAACCAACCAACCCACCGGAAAAGGCGCAGGGTAAAATCTGCCCTTCTTTTTTTAAGAAAAACAAAAATTGATACACATAGATAGATGTAGATATTGGTTTGGCTCGCAAAAAATAAGCGGCGAGAGTCCTTTTCAGCACTTTTTGGGGCGGCTGAAGAGGAAAGTGTGTGTGTGGGGGGGGAAATGCTCTGCATTTGCAAGCGGGCGCCCGCAGGGGAGAGAGAAAAAGGAGGGGTGGGTGGCAGCAGGAAAGGAGGGGAAAACAGAGCGTGGAAAACCACGCGTGTGTGTATAACGCGCGCACACACAACACAAGTTTTGGGGAGGGGGGTCTAGACCGACCAGGAAAACATATTTCCTCCCCTTTTTCCGGTAGGTGTTTCTGCTCCCAGAGGAAGTTCTGTCGAGACCCAGACTTTGGGTTAGACGGCTAAATGGTTGAGTAATTTTAATTAATATGGATGCCTGCGTGTTTTGGGGGTGGGTGGGTGGGTGGAAGGGCGTGCTTTTCCTTTAAATGCCCCCTACACACACGGAAAAGTTTTGGAGGGTCTCTGGGCCTTAAGGTTTCCTACGGGGTCTGTAGTCTTTAGGTGCAATCGTGGCCTTGGAGCCATGGGAGTTGACTAGGAGTTGTGTGAATGGGACCAAGCAGGTTCAACTTTGCTAGAAAAAAAAAAGGAAAATCTTGGTTGGGTTGGATAGGGTTGGGTAAAGAAAGCTTAACCAAGGTTAGCTGAGCCGAGTTCTTGGGTCTTCGGGTGGCCTGAACCTTGTTCACCTTTGCATTGGGGGTGACTGGGTTAGTCAGGTCGTGGGAATGGACCTTGTTGGGTGTCTGTGTGTGTGTATTGATTGGGCTTGAACCTTCTGCCTTGCTAACGGGCCTACTCTGCAGGGGGTGAGTGGGAGATCACTTGCTAAGCCTTGAGTATGAAAAGCGGACAGTTGTGGCTGCTACCCAGATGTGCAGCGTGCATCCTTGCAGAGCGGGGTTTCTGGAACAAACCGAATCGCTTATAACCCAGGTCAGCATCTTCAAATCCATCTTAGAGCAAAGAAGAGGGGTTCCTTCAACTGCAGAAATGGCTTGCAGGCCTGTTGAATGGAGCAATTGACAACTTTCTAGCTTGAGATCCCTCTGGGTTTTGTGTGTGTGTGTGTGTGTGTGTGTGTTTTGGGGGGGGGGGGAAAGAAAGGAAATTGCAACTTTTAGGAAATCACCTTGTTTGTCCCTCTTTTAACCACAGTGTAACAGCTGAACTACACAGCCTTTGCAAACAGCAGAAACGGGGTTAAAGCTTCCTGCATGCACCCAGCTTTGAATTGCATCGGATCTGTATTATCAAAGCTGCCTAGCGTGTTTCTTGATTATAGATGATATTTAAATGCAGTTGTGTTTTTGTGTGTGTGTGTGTCCTTTTATTTGGTCTTTGCTAGTGTTTATAGGTCTTGGAATCCGAGTTCCTGTTTCTGGTGGTTTCTTCCTCTGAGTTGCTCCACGCGTTTTTCATTTCTTTCTTTTTTTTTTTGGTGGCTGCGGAAATGGTGTTTTACTCCCTGAGGCTGCTGGGAACTGCAGTTCATGAAGTTGGAGCAAAAGCTTTTTAAGTGTGCAAGCGAGCGTGGGTTTGCACTGGCAGTGTGGAACCCAGCCTGGGTGTGTGTGTGTGTGAGGGTATCAGCCAGTTGTGTTGGCCTGCCCTGTTTTTTCTCTGTGTATAACCTCTTGCAAAAAAATTAAAACCACCCAAAAACAAACAAAAAAAAAGTATTTGAAATTGACAAGCGGAATGTGAATGAATTGATCAGGTTTGGCTGGGTTTGCACGTGAGCTGCAGGGTGGGTGTGCAGATTGGAGAAAAAAAAATCAAGGGATCCTCCTGTTTGTAGGAAAATAGCAGAGGGGGGGTCATTGCTGTTTTCAGCATCCGTGGGTTCATTTTTTCCAAACAGCCTTGCCTTGTTAAGGTAGAAACTTATGCAGAGATAGTTAAAGGCTTGCTTGACACGTGGCAGACTAGATCTTCCGAGGTTTTAATTGTGGATTTAAGTCAGAAATCTTCAAACTTGGCCGCTTTAAGACTTGTGGACTTCAACTCTCAGAATTTCTGGTTGAGGAATTCTGGGAGTTGAAGTGCAGAAGTCTTAAAGCAGCCAAGTTTGAAGATTTCTGACTTAAAACCACAATTAAGTTTGGGGACCCCTGCCAAGTTTGGGGACCCCTGTTTGAAGTTAATAGTGTTTTTGATTCTGTGTTATGTTTCCTTGTGCAATGCTCTACTTCAAGCAATAGGAAAAAGTCAGAGTGACTGCTGGGCCAAAATGCTATTATTATTATTATTATTTTTTATGCATCTTAATGCAACACATTTTCCAATTTGCCTGTCTGTGAAAATAAAAAAAACATGAAGTGGCTAAAACTCTGGGCGTTGAAGTCCGTGTGTCTTAAAAGTTGCCAAGATTGGGAAAAAACTTAACATGCGGATTAAATTATTAAATTGTTAATAGTTAAACTGTCATTAGAGGTCTTCAAACTTGGCAGCTTTAAGACTTGTGGACTTCAACTCCCAGAATTCTCCATATACCATAGCTGGCTGGAGAATTCTGGGAGTTGAAGTCCACAAGTCTTAAAGCTGCCAAGTTTGAAGACCTCTGCATTAAACTCTCATGTGGTTTGGGTTAAATTACCCTGTTGTCCCCAAAATAAGACACCCCCTGATAATAAGCCCAATCGGGCTTTTGAGCGCATGGCAATAAGGCCAAGCGCTTATTTCAGGGTTCAAAAAAATATAAGACAGGGTCTTATTTTCGGGGAAACACGGTATGTGGTTTGGTTGGCTGAGTCCTGTGAATGCCAACCCAGTAATATAAACCAGGTTAATCTGCCATGGGTGCCAAGCCCCACCAGGCTGAATGGTTGGGGTGCAGATTAAATCAGGAATGGCTGACCTTTGACCCTGGGCATAGGTAGTTTGCTTGCCCAGGTGAGATAAATGGGCCCAGTCTGTAAAAGAGCCCCTGTGTTCACAGCTAGCGGCACCCCAATATTGGGAGTGCTTTAAGTCTTCCTCCAGAAGATAATCTTCAATTTACAACCTTTCATTTAGTGACTGAAGTTACAAAGGCACTGAAAAAAGGAATTTATGACCGTTTTCACACTTAATGACTGTTGCAAGTCACGTGATCAAAATTCAGGCACTTGGCAACTGACATGTACTTACAACGGTTGCAGTGCCCCAAAGTCTGGTGGCTCAGCAGACTGATAGCATTGTGATTAACACCAGCTGTCTGCAATTACTGCAAGTTCGAATCTCTCCAAGGCTCAAGGTTGACTCAGCCTTCCATCCTTTCTAAGGTAGGTAAATTGAGGACCCAGTTTGTGGGGGCAATAAGCTGACTTTGTATAAATATACAAAAGGATGAAGGCTATTGCTGAGCACATTGTAAGCCGCCCTGAGTCTCCGGAGAAGGGCGGCATATAAATCAAATTAAAAATAATAATAAAAAAAAATGGGCCGCACGGGGTGCCCCCCCCATGCACCCCATTTTGGCTGCCACAGGCATTGTGGGCCAGTCCTTTGTTATTTTCACACTGCCCCCATGGGCCAGATTTAAGCACCCCGCGGGCCTTGAGTTTAACCTCCCCCCCCCCCCTTTGGATTATCTGATCTGATGTGGCTTTTACTTTCTTTTGGGTTTTTTTTGAAAAGTTTTATAGGAAATACAAACATTTCCCCCCCCCCACCCTTCCCCCCTCAATCCCTCCCACCCCCCTTCCCCTCCTTCGCCCCCACCCCCCCTCCCTAGACTTCCCAGAACAAGCACAGGGTATAGCATTCACAAACATAAAGCTAAAATATGCTAACAAATTATTGCATTCATATTCTCCCTAAGAGCCTTGATAGTACAGTGGTTACGCACCCTGTTATTAACACAGCTGCCTGCAATTTACTGCTGGTTCGAATCTCGCCAAGGCTCAAGGTTGACTCAGCCTTCCATCCTTTCTAAGGTAGGTAAATTGAGGACCCAGTTTGTGGGGGCAATAAGCTGACTTTGTAAAAATATACAAAAGTATGAAGGCTATTGCTTAACGCATTGTAAGCCGCCCTGAGTCTCCGGAGAAGGGCGGCATATAAATCAAATTAAAAATATAAAAAAAAGTCAAGTGATCCCCTTCTGACAAGCAATGTCGACGGGGAAGCCAGATTCACTTAACAACCGCGTTACTAACTTCGCAACCGCAGTGGCTCACTTCATAACTGGCAAGAGAGGTCATAAAACAGGACAAAGCTCACTTGGCAACTGTCTTGCTTAACAATGGAAATGCTAGTTTCTATTGTGGCCGTAAATCGAGGATTACCCATATTCTTCTCTTGGCTGATAGGGTTGCAAAGTGGTGAGAATCAGTTCCGAGTTGATTGACTGATCTTACGGTTTAGAAGGAGGGGCCTTCTGGTTTATTTTTATTTTTATTTTTAATTTAATTTTTATTTTTAATTTAATTTTTATTTTTAATTTAATTTTTATTTTTAATTTGATTTATATGCCGCCCTTCTCCGGAGACTCAGGGCGGCTTACAATGCGTTAAGCAATAGCCTTCTTACTTTTGTATATTTATACAAAGTCAGCTTATTGCCCCCACAAACTGGGTCCTCATTTCACCTACCTTAGAAAGGATGGAAGGCTGAGTCAACCTTGAGCCTTGGAGAGATTCGAACCAGCAGAAATTGCAGGCAGCTGTGTTAATAACAGGGTGCACTAAACCACTGTACTATCAAGGCTTGATTGATTGATTGATTGATTGATTCGATTTATATGCCGCCCTTCTCCGGAGACTCAGGGCGGCTTACAGTGCG